CCCCCCCCCACCCATTCAACGGCGATGAACATTTCCACTTTTTTACTGGAAACAGGCACGGGATAAGATCATTGCGGCTGCAGACGAGAGAATGGCCAAGCACATACTAGAGCTAATAGCTCTCGCGCAGAACCAGGTGAGAGCAATATACACTCGGGAAAAGTAGGCCGGCAGAAAGACTCCTTGTATAACAATGGTGTTGCTGCCTCACACGCACAGAGAATATATGAGATTCGATACCCTGTGTGATTGTCGGCAATGGTGTCAACAAGATGGGGTCTCGCGGCTTCCCTCGCGCATTCGACAGTGTTCGTCATCGTCGCCGCAAGGAGCAGCAGCCTGCGCACGCGAAGTTTCGAAGATTCGAGCACAAGGGTCGTTGATAGTGACTGCCTGTTCCATGCCCTTGTCAATGGAACCTCTGCTCGTCCAGGAACCAGCAGCAACAGCGATGAAACCCCCCGCCAACTCCGTTACCACGGCCCTCAACAAGTGGGTCGATGGAAGCTTCTTCGAACGGTTCGTGGCGCGCATCATGGCAAGGAACAATGTTGACGCCACCTCCTTGGCTACACTAGCTCTGTGGCCGGTGGATACGTGGTGCGTGCTATCCACTTGCCTGGGACAAGGAACTTTCGGTGGCGTATTCAAGATAGACGTCCTTACCCTGCAGGAGAGCTTGGCCATAAAGCTAATCAAGGAGGTAAGCGTGATACTTCCATGTTAGCGCACTGGTTGCTCTCCATGGAAATCATGTGTGGCCGTTGCAAAGCATCAAACGAGCTGTCCCCTCTCAATAGTTCTGCATAATGTGATAATTCAAGTGCACCCGGCCCCCTATCGGAGCTCGTTTGAACTGGGCGTGGTGCTGCTGCACCGTCTTCCTGCTTGCTTCTGGCGCTCGTACCTCAGGGAGAGGGCGAGAATGCTCGAAGGCGGACGCGCAGGTCGCAAGAGTCCGTGCTTGGGGAGATGGTCATCTGCGTCTGGTGAGACACGCATGTCACCGCCACGTTGTTATTGCAGAGTAGCGAAGACTTTGCAGAGTTAACGAATAGAGTGCAACAAGGGCGGGGTGGATGCAAGCACGTAGAATCTGTCGTATATGAATAACGTTTTAGGGTCTTAGTGTCGTGGGAGAAGGAATGGTGGAATTTTCATAGGCGTGTTCAATCCTTCCTCCCACACCGATATATAGGCACGGCTCGAAACCACGCACGATGCGTACCGCTTTCCCTGTGGATTCCGCGCGTGTTTCGATCAACCTAAATTGTTGGCGTCGGTGCACATGGTATCGGATGGTTCGTGCGATTCGTCCAAACTACAGGCCATGATGTTTTCGTCCTTGGCTGTCAGTGTTCCGCCCCACCCGAACGTCCTCCAAGTCGTCGGGGTGGATGACCGAGAGCTAGACTGCATGAAGATAGTGTACCACCTTGCAGAGGATTTCGACCGCTGCGCGTGGGGAAGCACAGAAGACAGCGCGGGGACGAAGATACGGTGAAATATGAACTCACGTCATTCCTCTCGACCCAATGGCACGGCATGACTTGGTTGGACAATACTGCCGTTGACTGGCGGCCTACTTGCGTTTTATTTTCCATGCTGCAGAGGTGAGTTGTGGACGTACCGTTCGTGTTCTTGATATGGCAGCCCGGAGCGATCATCCAATCAAACCACTTCGCTTTTCGGTTGTTTGCACACACCCGTGCCAAATCAGAGCCAAATAATGAAGGAACCCCAGGCGGGAACGTAATAAATCGCTTGATTCTTTGCCTTCAAGTGCACCCATGGACGGTATCGCGAAACCCGTACGCCCCTGCAAAACAACATCAGTCACGGTGTGTCTACCGCCAAGGTCGTGCATGGCCAGCGGCCCCTGATCGGCTATTTCGCGATACAGATTGAATGCAAGAGCGCTGTATTTCATGAATCGGAATTTGTTCGTATTGCATCCAAGACGCCCGCGAAAACATCGCAGCAGCGACAAGAAATTTCACGTCTGGGCGGCAGGTTTTCCAGAATCAGTGCATCCCCGTGCGATCCCAGGGGCCGCCGGGTGAATATTCAACAAACGAACTGACTTCGTTGTTGATCTTGTCGCGAACTCCTGTGCTGAATCAGGTCACCTTGCCATTTGCGATACTCTGAAGCGAAACCCATACTATGTACTTGCCTCTGCCACACCGTGGGGCCTCAGCCATTCTGACGCCTATGAGTCAGCTTGAAGCGTTTTCCCTGATTGGTCTAATTCTCGGGGTATCGATTTTCGTTCCCCGTCACCGCTGCGAACCTACTCTGCTCCTGCAGGTATCTGAGCGAAGCCGCCATAGGGTTGACCCACCTTGTCAACAACGGCTATGTCCATAACGATATCAAGCCAGCGAATATCTTGCTGGTTGACTCCACGCAGGATGGGAACAAGGCAGCGCGTGCAGTACTAGCGGACTCCGGATGCGCGTTAGGTGACGACACCGCTCTACATGTGTTGGGAAGAGCTACCCACGCGTGTGTTGGATGGCCTTTTCCCTTCTGTCGGCCAATGCGTTATCGAACTGTTTCGGCCTCCACCTCGCTCTGCTAAAAACCAATTCAGCGTGCCCCTTCGCTGACAGACAGCGCCGCTACTACGTTGGCGTGGCCTCTTCTCACTCCCCTGTTTGAGGCCCTATACGTACGTCCAACCACCTCTCTAACCGTACTCCTTTCCCCGCTGCTGCCGGCCATGTGCTCAAAGTAAATGCTACGTCCAAACACGACCACCACCGTCGTGGGCATCAGCCATCGGAGACGGACGTTTGGGAGAAGGCACCCTAAGGCGCAGGCCGCCGGAAGCGAGAAGCTCGGTTACATGCCACCCGTCTGCGGAAGTTTTCTCCATGGCACACACCTGCCTAGTCACGTTCACCAAAGAGGGTCAGCAATATCATAATATGTTCGTGAGCGAGGTGCGCTCGACACTTGGTAGGACGGTGACAGGGGTGTGTTTGCTTACAAATCACCAACAGGGAGGGTCACATTGTCCCTGAATTTGGGATAGGTTATGGGGGGTGTTAGAGGTTTCCTCGATCAGATGAATGACCACCTGTGATGAACAACTGTAGGCGGTAAATCTGCGGTCCTTGGCTTCGAGAATCGAGGGGATATCGGACTGCTAATGCCGTGCAGACGTTTACACCGCCCCGGGCGCTTTAGTTTAGCATGCAGTATGCTAATTGTCGATGCCACGATACGCCGCATCATCACCCCACCATGCCTCTGCTTCGTTGTAGTCTTATCCACTGTATGCACGGGAATCGCTCGTCTTCTTGTCGCTCATGGACGTTTGGATGCCCTCTCAGTTGCCTCCCACGGACGCCCCTGTTCGTCGTTTTGTGTTTGTTCGTCTACTCGTGTGCTTGCAACACGATAGGAGCTCGTAACGCACTGCGACAGAAGGTGCCTCGACAACATCGACGACGACCGTCGGTTCGACAAGTTCATCGTGAGTCCAGTTTCCACTATCCCCTGATGGTTGTGGCCGTCTTTTGGAAGAACTTTCGACTATCCCTGAGACTAGAATTTATGCTTGTTCCTGTGTTCGTGTTTTCAAGCAAGATTGTAGCAAAACGCACCGTATCGAGAGCGCGTTCGTTACTTCCACCCCTACCCCTACACAACTCGTACCACAGTCATTAGTTGACGGGGGGCGGGGACGTCGGGGAGTAGAGGTGGAAGTACCAGTTCAGGGAGGCGGTTCCTAGCTTTGAGGGGGAGGATATTGAAGCGGCTTCGGATTAGGGTAGTTGTTGTTGTTGTCTCTCACATTAGCTCTAAAAAAGAAAGATTGGGAGCCCGTGGTCTCAAAACCCAGCATACACGACCCCACGAAGAAACAGAAAAAAAAAGGGTACATAAACCACTCGGAAGAGAAACAAAATGATAGAAAGAAAGACCAGCTACCGCACCAAACGAGAAAGAGCGTCGAGGAGACCGATCAAAATAAAAAAAAAGGAGAACGGGGAACGCTTCCCACACCCGCCTACAACGCCGGAGGGTTCCGTGCCGGGTTC